CGATGGCGAACCCAATGGCAGGCTCTTCGGTGGCGCTCGGGGCACCCTCCTAATCTCTTGAAGCTCGAAGAGCTCCGCAAATGTCTGCGAAGCTGATCTTCCAGGTTCATCCTCTAATACACTATCGGGAGGACTGTTGAGCAACTTGGCATACTTTCCGTCCTGTTGTTGTTGTTGCTGTTGTTGTTGTTGTTGCTGCTGCTGTTGATGATATTGATGATGATGATGATGGTGGTGGTGATGGTGATGGCCAGATTTTGTTTCGTCCAGACCAAGGTAGTTCGGATTACAGAAACCGAATTGGCCCTCTCGTATCGTCGACGAAGTGACAATCGGCCTGTGTGGCTTTGATCTCCTTCCAGACACCCAGTCATCTTCCGCGAGCGGATCACCCGGACTTCTTGCCTCGATACTCGCGTAATCTGATGTCGATTCTTCGCCTTCTTCAAGATCGGCGAATCGAACGGAGGCGGACGTAGGAATTTTCGTCGTCGTCGGAGTTTTTGGCGTTTGCAGAGCGGCTTCGTAAAGATGTGAGCTGTAACTTTCACCGCGAGTGGGCTGATAAGCTTGATGAATCGCTGCGAAATCTCTGTAACGAACGGATGTAAGAATCTTAATGTTTAATAAAAATGCATGTAATTATTTTATAAAGGCAATTACCGTCTTTCTTCTTGAACTTCAATCAGTCTCGACGTGGGCGGTTCCTTGCGCTCATCATTGTCACTATTTTCATCTGGATCAACAAAAACCAATCTAGCAGCCTCTACAGGCGTGAGAACAGGAGTTGGTAACGTCAAAGCACGAAAGTTTGGCACCGAAATAGGATCTCTGGTCATACCAGAAGTATTGTTAATATTGTTAACATCAACCGTCCTCGCCGTTCCTTCCGACGCTTTTTGTCTTCGGCGGGCCAGCGTGTTGGCGCTACGAGATTTAACCATTCCCGTGGAGGGCTCGACCACTTCGATATCCACTTGCTGAAAAGGATAATACGTGTTTGCCTGCATACAGGCCTAATTGGAAGATAAATGCGCATCTACTAACAATGAGAACGTATTTCGGGGATTTTACGTGGACACACATACCTCTTGAGGGCTTTCTTCATTATCGTCATGTCCACTGAGAACTGAATAACTGCACTTCGTCGGATGACTGAGCCTCGACAGATTTATTTGCGATAATTTTGAAATTTCCCTGAGAAAGCTGGGTCTGGCAGAGGGTGCCTCGTTTGGTGATATTCTATTGCTCGATAGCCTAGGCCTTTGGTTTCTTAGCCTCGGTTTTGAATTGTCTATACCTGTTCCGCGAATCAGCAATTCGGATACTGCGAGAGCAACGCTTTCAGCTCTTGGCTGCGGTTTCGGTCCTGGTACTGACAGCTTCTCCCAGGTTTCTGTACCTGTCAAAATATTTAAATATTTTACATCATGAAATATTTAAATAATAATTAAAAACAATTATTTTTAATATATATATATATACTTATTTATATTGCATGAATAAAGTATTTTTTATATCTACTTCCCTGGCCAGTTTATTAATTCAAGGGCATTTTAATAAGTAATTCATACTAAACAATTTTTTCGAAATTCTATTTTTCCATTATGTACATCCATTATGTACATTTTAAATGATATCAATAGAATTAAATAATTTCAACGGATATCTTCAAATTTGGTGTACATTATAATGTACACAGAGTCTGAAGGTTGATGCTTTATACATATACATAACGAGGTAAAACTTCTACATGTTTTAAAAACAATAAAATGATTTATGGAAATTATATAATATTATATATTTAAAACGTTTATACTATGATGATGTGGCACTGCATACCGAAATGAAATCTCCATAGCTCGTTTGTCGCCAAACCACTGCTCTCACCGCCAAAGATCAACATGCAACTTGGCAATCTACACGCTGCGTGGCCATGAAGAGGTCCGGGACCTGGTTTGTTCTTCAGCATGGACCACGAAGCGCTGTTGACGTCCCACCGCCAGCAATCGTTCCTTTCTTGAAGATCCGTCATTCCACCATAAATGTACATCGCATCACCGTGCAAAACCGCTGAATGCTTATGTCTTGCAGCTGGCCCGCTTTCGCTCGACGAAAGTAGATGCCAAGATTCAGTTTCTGTAATGTTAAACAAGTTCGAAGTCGCTATGCATATTATTGATCGAGTTATATACGAGGTACAAAGCGATGTTATACCGAAATGGAAAGACCAGAGTTCTGAGGAGCTTCCACGTAAGTCTTGATAACCGCCGTATATGAGCATTTGTCCGCGATGTACCAAAGCGGTGTGGCCTCTTCGACCTCTAGGAATCACGCAACCCCGTTGAGCTCTCACCTTTCTCCATATATTTGTCTGAAAATTATAATCATTCGTAATCAGATTAGTTAGTATTTTAATGTTAGTATTTTAATGTTTGAATTATTCCTCTCAAGGAATTGTTTTTCCAATTACAAACGAACTTGATTCCACATCTCTATTTTTACGAATACTCGTAAAGATGATATATAAGACCAATCTGCAACAAAAGGGATAAAGATCTCTAATTTGCAGCCCTCCAATTCTGCCATTTGAATAGTCTCGGCTTTAACTCTTGGGGCTGCGATAATCACCGTCACTGAATAGAGATGCGAAAATTATTCTCTCACTAGTTACAATGCGACTTCTGGTAAATATTTCATTCGTCTAAACGTATGCTTACAAAGTATATACTATAGTAAAACTTTGACTGCTTAAATATTCATTAAAGAAATATCTCTGTCTCTTTTCTTTTCCCTCTGTCATTACTACATAACGATATTTTTAAAACTTTTTTTATAATTTATATGTTAATAAAAATAAAATAGAAACGGTATTTTATCGTTTAACTATATAAAATTTAAAAATATGTATAAAATATTAAATTGTTTTGCAATATTTTATCTTATGCGAAAAATGTTTATTTATTCGTTTTAAACTGATATTGCAGGTGTAGTGTAGCAACATACGTAAAATTATTATAGATGAGAGGCATAGTCGGTATTCATTGGTGAATATTTGAGCTTGGTAACGCGCATTCGTAACTCGAGCTTTCATCCAGTCACGAAAAGCATGGCGGCTGGTTGAAAGAATGTACGCAATATGATATGCAAAGCCATAGGCAAAGTATTATAAAATCTTCGTATTATAAAATCTTCCTAACTGTAACGTGGATATATCAGAGAATATGTGCGTTTGAAATAGGATAAATAATTCGAAAAATACATATGGAATTCACATAAAAATGTTATTAGATGGTAAAACCTTCTCTGATTATGATCTTCTTCGCTTATTTGTATGTGTTGTACATATGGGATTATTATATTTAATTGTATATGATATTTAATTGTATAAGATTATGCATATGTAAAATTGGTAATATCTTTAGTATTCTGTCAAGTCTGTAATGTTGTACGATAGAGATATTTCATTTAAACAGTTCTGCATTATTTATGCGATACTATAAAAAGACTTAAAATTCTTAGTATTCATGTAAGAATATTCAAATATCGTTATATAGGTGGATAGTAGATTTATTTTTATCATGCCGTTACCTTGGAACAATTTCCATGAAAAGTGTGCCGCGGAAAAAAGCATTCTTCGCGTGTCCATTATATTTACACATATCGATGAAATCAATACGTTGCCTCCCCTCCTCGAAGAGATTTATCGCTTAGTCTAGCAGAAAATTTGAGCGTGCGTATCAACTGGCGTTTTAAAATCGCATTAGCCTTCTTCTTTCGAAATACCATGGTTCATGGAATTGCAACATGAACAAGTGGACTGTATAACTGTCCGGTGAATACACTCAAGAGGATCATTCCCTTCCTCGTAATGAGAATTATAACCGAGATGAGGACAATATATAAGTTTCCAGTATCAACTTCAGATTTACCCAAGAGATGATTAAGTAGCTTTAACCCATCTTTAGACGCGCGCTTTATGTAATTACTTTCGACACTCTTAGCTAGCAACGGCTACCTCTGTAGCTGTTCTTTCACATATACTCGTATCATAGGGATACAGAAATCAACGTACTTCGGGACAGACATTAGCAAGGTAAAAGACCTTGTGATTATCATTACACATCAAAAGTACTACCGGTGTCCGTTCCGCTCTTCAAGAGAGTTATGAATATATCTACTACTCTCGAGATATTTAGCCACGTTTATGAATACATATCTTGTCACATATTAAAATATCTGACGCTTTATTATATGAATTTTTGAAGAAAATTTATGAACCGTAAAAAAGATTCAAGTAAATATCAATTTTATTACGAATTATCGTAGCGTAAAATAGCCTTCGTTACTCTTGAATTCTAAAGAATTTTTTCGTAAATTACAATTGTAAAGGAAATGGAATGCTACACCATACGCGCCTTCTTTCACTTTCTATTCTGAAAACAAGGTAGAGTTTTAAGTACACAAAGGGAAAGTGAAAGAGACAGGGAGGTAAAGAAAGTAGGGAGAGAACAAACGCGCCGAGCAACCCCTCTGGCTTAGCCAATCAGGTTTGTCTGACGCATTCGTAACGCAGATTTCAATAATACACAGCGAACAGACAGAAACAGACAGAAAGGGCTACATTCGTATTTCCTCCACGGTCCAATGATTAAAAACAAATGGACCAAGAGTAACCATGGTAACTCAACCCAAAAAATCTCGGGATAAAATACGATAAAAAAAGAATTGATGTTCTTCCATCCAATACAATTTTGTTTTATCTAATAGAATATAACAAAATATTCTTCTCCATTTACAATTTGTAAAATTTGAAGCTTGTATTATTAGCATCAAGAAAAGGTTATATTTTAAAATAACAAAATATTTTATTGTGTGAATCCAATAATGTTATTTATTTAAAGAGGAATGAGGCAGCGAAAGCATAAGGCATATTCTTGCAAACAATGAAAACTACGTAAAAGAAATCGTCAGAATAATGCGGTAGATATAACCTACCGAGTGAAAGAGATAACCAATCATTGCTAACGAAGGAAAATTAGTGTGACTGAACATTTATCCGCCTCGTACTAAAGCGCATATCAAGTCATACAACGCAATTCAGTGCAAATTTGTAGATTTGTAGTAAAAGAATGTACAGGGATAAAATTAGACAATTTTATTTAATTATATTGATAGAATTAGAATATAAATTTATAGATGTACGGTTTCTTAAATAAAAAAAAATCAACATTTTAACTTTTCAATTTTTCCATTCTTAATAAAAGAAAATAATCTTTAGAACGAATTGATGACGCGTGATGTCTCGCATTCCACGTTTGATGCGGGCTTATTAATTTTTAATGCCTCGCACGTGAGTGGCGACTACCCTTGGGAGAATGAAGCCCTGCCTGGTTTCAAGGGTACGAATCGGAGAGAAAGCCTGTTAACACCAGCTGCTGCCAAAAACCACCTTCGACTTAAATTGCTCTTGAAGGCCCCACGAAAGATGTATCTCTGAATATTGTATGAAATTAGAGGGCACGTCAGCAAATATTAACACTGTCGCACAAGACAAGTGAATAAGAGTAAGACATAAAATTTTATAATATCGTAAATATATATCTATATCTTTAAAAAGCAGAGAGAGAAAGAGAGAATTGATTACACAATACGTACGCACGCACGCACGCATACACACACACACAAACATTTATAATATATCAATAAAATTAATAATGTGCTCACGTTTTTCCTTAAAATTAATTTTGTTATGTGTAATTAGCTTATTAAAATTACTAATTTTTAATAATTTTTAAATTTTTAACTTCTTAAGTATCTTTTGTTTACTTAAAAAATATATATATTTTCATTAGATTTTTTTTTTTTAAATTTTAAGCCCTCTTTCGCTCGATATTCCTTTATCACGAGATCTATCATAAATGGAAGTTATATAAAATTTAATTGATATATTGGAGATAGCGCTGGAGAAATCACATAAGTTTATTACATAGCCCATAATCATTTATTAGCTGGTAATTGCTTAGGATATTATCAAGTTGATATCTTGAAGTTACTGAGATCCAATACTGTAACTACATATATATCCTGGAGATCGATTGCAATCTAGTAGTATCTTCGAAAATGTAAGTGTGTGTGTGTGTGTGTGTGTGTATGTGTATGTGTGTAATGCCAGCTACTTGAACATACTATTCAATCGTAGAAAGATTATGCATTAAAGCATGTTGATACATTTTTGTCGTTCTCTTAATACGAATGAAGCATTATACAGGGTGTTTCCAAATTAAATGGCAAAACTTCGGGAGCGTGTAGAGGAGTAAAAAACTAAGAAAAAAAGTCCTATAGACATATGCTCCTTTTTGCTTTGTTTCGCAGGAAATCACGAAAAAAGAAAAAAATATATTTAATTTATTATTTTAATTATTTTATTTATAAACTTTTTAATGAAGATTTTGTTCGAAATGTGCACCTCTTGCAGCAATACAAGCATTGCATCTGTCAAACACGGCTCTTGTAGCAGCCAGGCACTGTTCTTGCGATATTCTGTTCGCTGCAGCTACGATACGATTTCTCAAATGTTGCTCTGATTGAATAGGCGAAGAATAAACTTCTTGCTTCAGAGTACCCCATGCATAGAAATCTAATGGCGTTAAGTCGGGCGAACGAGTTGCCCAATGTACTGCTCCTCCACGTCCAATCCATCGTTGTGGGAATTTTCTATCTAACCAGGTTCTAGCGACTCTGCTGTAATGAGCAGGGCATCCATCTAATTGAAACCACATTTCAGTACGTTGTTGTAATGGGATGTTTTCTAAATAGTCAGAAAATTCATTCTCCAAGAAATTTAGAAAACGGTCCCCATTTAATCTTGCAGGTAAAAAAAACATTTTTTTTCGATTTCTCTGAAACGGAGCAAAAACGAGCATATGTCTATAGGACTTTTTTTCTTAGTTTTTTACTCCTCTACACGCTCCCGAAGTTTTGCGATTTAATTTGGAAACACCCTGTATAGATATTCTTTTAACAATTGAGAACACAATACATTATATCAAAATCGAAAAATTAATTTCCAAACAGACAATATTCGACGTACTATAGTAAATTTATGAAATAGACTTCTGATGACTTGTAGATTTGATAAAAAAAAAATAAGATGATAATTAGTGCACTAGTTAAATTTATTTATTTAATTTCGGATATTTGTAACATGTTTCCGAGATATTTCCGCAAGAATATTATGCTTTATTTAAAATTATATATCAAGATTTCAATTGAATTCGTTATCAAGATTTAGTTAAGAACGACCCATGCGGTCTGATTAAATGAGACGACGGGCAGTCTTCGAATAGCCTTTGGGCAATCGCCATGGCTGTTCCGGTGATCAGAAGGAAGGTTTGCACCCTTCGATTTAGTAAACGAGACGGAGGGCAATATTGGACCACTACGTCAAAGTTGATTGACAATATCGCGCATGGATACCTTTCCCTTTCCCTTAAATTTGAGGTGTACCCGATATAGATTCAGATTATAATCTCGTATCAATTAAACAATGTAAATAAATAAAAAATTTAATACTAAAATATATAATTCTTCTATTATCTGATTATATTAAAATAATGTAGATAACCATTTAACTATATAAATGACGCACGTAATAAGCGTATGAGTTGCATATTACAAAATATTATTAAAATATTGTACATCTTTTGCTAAAAATAAAATTCTTTGTTAAATCGCGAATTAAAGTTACTATAACATCATAGTAGTAAGACTTCTTATATGGAAAAGGTAAATTATTAGGAAATGTTATTTTCGTAAGCTGAAATTGATCGAAGTCCGTAATAGATCAGTCCCGTTTACAAGAATTTACAAGAAGCAACATCAATTCCAAGCTTCGCTCATTTCACAAAATTGATTTTCCGCAAGCGAGACGTTTCCCTCGTAAACGGAAGAGGCCAACCACCCCGTCTTGCTCGGTTCGTGTCGCGCGTTATTATTCTCCCCAAGGAGTGCTTGGACAATGCGTGGAGTACAACAGGATAACAACGGTAGCTCGGTGAATTTCTACACATGCTCGATTCGCGAGTCACTATTGGCAGGATAAGCCTCGGTTGCCCTTGGCAGCTTGTATTGTCACCCGCTGCTAAAATCATCCCTCTGTGTCACCGCAGAGGCAAGGGAAAGTGACACGTTACCGCGTAAAACTCGTAACCGATGACGTTGCTATCGATTAAGCGACGTTTCTCGAGGGTGCGATTCTTTCGTCTCTCGCTCTCGCTGCTTTCTCGACGAAACTCCCCTCATCGTAGGGAAGATCATTAAGAGTTTTCTCAATGTAGTACGACGCTGGCTGTTGAGATCGTTATCAGAAGTGGGAAAACACTGATATTTATCTCCATAAAAGCTTAGCGTTCTAGGCGATATTATTCGCGCGACTTAATTCCTATTTTTATAAAAGCAATTGCATTCTACAATTATATTTTGCAAAGTATCACCTTGACGTTATAAACCCAGAGTGGTGTCTCCGTTCCCGCAGAGAAACCCAATTCGCCGCCGAAAACGTAGAGGCAATCCTTATACGCCACCGCGCTATGTTCCTGAAGAGCCGGCGGTCTTTCGCCGCCCGGATGCAATTCCTCCCACTTGCTTTCCGCTGAAAAAGAAACAAAGAAAAGCTTGTCACATAATCCGACATTCTTATCCTTTAGGTTATGTATGCAGTGCATTCCAGTATTATGGAAAGTGCACGTGTTACAAATGCACAAGAACGTAAGACATCGAGCTTTTCTAATGCACTCGTTGCATTTTCGTAATCGACTTTTATCCCAGCAGAATGTATTGTATCCAGCAGAATTCATATCCCTATATAGAGTTTATTTAAAAAATACAATCGTTTTTCAACGTGACAGGATAATTAAATTTTGTATATGCTTATTTTAATAATTGATATTGCAGGCATTTTATATTTTGTAACTTTTCACAATTAATAATATAGCTAAATATATTTTTTATATATGATAAGACGGAAATGGAGAGAAAATCTGAGACTTCGATCGTAATAGTAACAGTTTATGAAGAGAATATTAAAAATCTTTTGTATATCTATAGCTTTTTAATAAAACAGACGTTTGAGCGGCCTTCAAAACTATTGTGAAGAGGAAGCCAGAGCTCCCCTGGCGAAAGTATAAAAGATATAAAAGCGAGAAAAGCTCGCTCGAGTAGTGCATAAATTTACGTTTTTTATCGAGATATTATTCTGGTAGGTATCGGAAATATTCAGAGAGAGATATTGCTGCACGCGCCAATTATTATTTCTTTCTCTATTCGCGTATCGAATTGATTTTGTGCTTCTATTTGACATAATCTTATTCTTGTGTTTCAGACGATAGCTATCGTCGACACAAGAAGCTTTCTATTAGATTTTAACCTATTAAATTCGGATTTAAAATTAAATCTTTCTACTTCTTTATTTTACTATATTAAATTATTTTTGAAAAGAGTTTTATATTCTATTCTTTCATAAGCACGTCCTTCTCTATCATTTCACATCTTTCATATTGTGCCTTCTTTCATCTCACGACCCTCATTCTGTCCCTTCCATTTCGCATGCTCTGTATTCATCCGGAATCGCTTTGAGGGGAATGGTAATATCTATAAATAAATGAGAGGACAAAATATGTGTGATTCGTGAATGACATTTGTGCCGACATCATCTAATTTCGCAATATCTTCGAAAGTTTCAGCTTTTCCTCAGAACGTGCTCGAGAACAAAGAATTCAGGTAAGGACCGTAACGTGCCGACTGAAGCATCTTCGGTACTGCTAGAATGATACTAGATGCCCGACATTGATTACGTAGTACTACATGTGTCGTATCTCTTTTTGGTAGTGAAACGAACAATATTTCTCTTTGTCTAAAAGCATGTATTGCGAAATAGCAACGTGTTCAAGCACACAAGAAATTCGAACGGTGGATATAGTGGATATATGCTTTGTATAACAATTTAGCCATTAGAGCCACTTTTGCCTCTCTTTAAATATCTACAATATAAGCGGGAATATTGAAGGTTTTTGCGCAGAACTTTATATAAAGAAAGATTTACATTCTTTAAGAAAATGGCTACGTTCAGTAGAAAAACAGCTTTTCAATGATTGTAAGATTCATTAATGTGATTAGATTATATACCTTAGATCTAGTGAAGAACTAAGAACAAAAACAAATCATATTAAAGATTCGTACAACAGTTGCAAAGCTGCTTTTTCTGCTGAATGCAGTGTCAACAAGAATATAATTTTAAAATTAATTTTGATGTTTCTCTTTCTTCTCTATAATTTTTTTTTCTATCAATTAAATTTCTTTATAATTTTTGTCTCTCTCCAAGAATAATTACTTCTTTAATAATCCGAAAATAGAAGATGCAATAAAAACCGTTTTTCCAGCTGAAGTACCTACTCTTGTACCTATTCTTTGAGTTATCACAATATTTTTGCGGGATCAAGTAGAGCGACAAAGCTGGGCTTTTAAAACAGGGGGGTAGAGACAGCCGGGAACATTGTTTGCCCCAGGAAACGAAGCGCTACCCGCCAACCCTTTCGCTGCCGCTTCAATATTCACCCGACAAGCACACGACCGAACAATACCCTCTGATTAAGAGACCCGGTCGTGCAAGCACGAGCGAAGCGAATTCGCACTACATCGACTATACTTGACTTCATAAATCATCTCTCGATTGCTTCTTCTCGCGATTGCTTCAAAACGTCAACGTTTATTCTTTTAAATGATCTTACATAGCATCATAAGAACAAGCCAATCCTTGGTTTCGTTAATCAAAATATATAGAACATGGCAAAAAGAGTTATGATATGGGATTTTAATTGTTTAGAAGCGAGATAAGACGTTAACTCCCCCCTGTGTTAGGAATGAATGCGGATAAAAGCAGATGGAACATTTCAGGCGGAGGAAAATCTCTCCCTGTCATGTACATAAGCTACCGATTACGGTCGGTGGACGCAATTAATTTACGTATGTCTGATCTCCGTGGAAACACCACGTAATTGTGGAGTAGCATCCGCGGATTTAACTGATGTACGTAGGCTTTAATAATGGTGCATTATTGATCAGACTGAACCCCGTTCAAATTCCGTCGCGCACCCTCGTCCTATGGGGTGCGCCAGGAGATGCGATGGGGTGCGCTGGTCAGAAACGACGTTGATATTATATCGTGTACTTGGAGCCACTCGAAATACTACAGTATCACTTTCTCGAAAATTATTGGGATTTTCTATGTTCTCGAAGCAACGCATAATCATATTCTAATATTTAAAGCTGCAGTGATTAATGTAGTACGCACGATGGTGTACGAGCTGCCATACAAGCGCAAAAATTTAAAGACTCACCAAGGCTGTATCGCCAGAGGTCTTTAAGAGGTAGGTTTCCATTTCGACCCCCGAGAAGATATACGTGACCGGCAAGTAAGGTGGCACTATGCTTGCTCCTCGAAGGTGGTGCTGGTCCATTTTCAGTGCCAGCTGCGGTAACCGAGCTCCACATTTTCTTCCTGAAACAAAATACAGCAGAAATCATTTTATCGCATCCACTGTCAACGGAAGATCATTGTCAGAGAAAGGTTTATTACAGTAGCTAGCTTTATTAAAACATTGGTAACACGGTAGCCTTATCTCAAGCCAGGCGCTCAAAAGATTAAACAGCATCCTGATAAATATAGACAGTCTTGTAATAGCATTGGTTTCCCCTTGATCTTTCGTGATATCTTATTTTTCCGCTTTCTGAATGTTTCCTTCGTCCTCAGTACTGCCGAGAGAAGGAAGTCGCTCTCTCAGAAGCTGGAGATAAGATACATTCGCTCGGCTACTGCTTCTTATTTGTCTTGTATCTTCTCGTATATATGATATTTTTTTAGACATTAACGAATTTAGAGAACAAATAAATTAATTGCTATTTGTTTTTATCTTCGTGATGAGTATATTTTTTCTAGCTACTTTTTGACTATGATCTACTTAATGCTAATTAATATTTTGAAATATTCTTTGGTCTATTAATTAGTATAATTCTTTCTTCTGATTGATCAATTAAATGCCTCAAAGCATTTATATAATAATAAGTGAATCGCACCTTTTATTACTTCAATAATAATTTAATTAATTGTAAAAATTGACCTATATGACTTTCCGATATGAAATTTTATTGTCTAAATACGCATACAATTTTTAATAATCTAAGAGATGTGAGTTCTCGCAGAGAATGCATAATGCGAATTTAAATATTTACCGATTGAGACGGATGATTAATCGAAGCTGTCTAGGGAAAGTCCATTGATAAACATTATACAATAATACGTCGATTTTATGGAGCGATAAGTGGCAATTTTCAGCAAAATTTTCAGGAAATAAAATATTGATTGGATTCCGAGAAGAACTAGCATCAGGTGCAGCGATTTTTAGGTAGTCCCCTAAAAGCGAGGGGCTGCTACTGACCATCATTGGCTAGCTCGTATTCCCTTAGCGCGCGCTGTTGCATTAGTAACACATCTCGCACATCTGTTCCAAGATAATCTATTTTCGCATCCCTAGTTTCTTCACCCGATTTATCAACAACCTCCTCGAAAGCTTCAAGGAAATCTCGATGGGATTTTTAGCACATTCATACATAAAAAAAAATGCTACTCTTTATGTACATAATATTATATGTACATACTTTATATTTCCCAATGAATAATCAATTAAATAAAAGTGCATGTGCTTTTTCCCAAGTACATGTGTCTCGATATCTAACGATCGGTCCATCGCGCGTCAACCTATAAAATCCAATTACTCGAAGAAGCCGAGCTCGGCCTTCGACATTGGCCTTATGAGTTTTCATCCACGCCCATATCCGGCGCCGGTACTCGAAATTCAATTACGAGGCAGCTGTGAAATCGAGTTTCGGGTAAACGAATGCACCCTCACGCGTCCTGAACACGCATACGCAAATACACATCTCTTACGAGGTAGTACGTTTTGTGTGTGAGGTATAGACACCACAATACAATTGTCGATCTTTCTGCATTTAATTGTATCATTCAAACGAATCCATTTACCAGCGAAAGGATTAAGAGTTAATATACTTTATCAAGTGTAAGATAATATTAATGAGAACAGTATGGTCAATTAAAAAATCTTGTCAAATGGAATTTAGTATTTATCCTTTCTTTATGCACTCTTCTTCGATTCTACAGAAAAATGAGAAAACATTCATCATTTTCTATAAAATTTAAGATTCTACAGATTCGGAAAAAAATGCACAGAGAAAGAATAAATTTGAAATATACATACATTACAACGAGTTTTTCAATTGACCATGTTGTCGTTAACATTATCTTACTCTTGGTTTACTTTAAAAAAGCGAATCTTCTCTTTTTTTTATGAATAATCAAAGCTTACTTGCTTATATAAAGAAAAACAAATTTACGTAAATTCCTACAAATATTAAATAATTTAATTGATATCATTACAACTGTTAGATCTAGTCCTAAAAAATTGACTAATCACAGTCGAATGTGAGAAAAATAATCGACTATGATTGGTCAATTTCTTGTGATTTTACAGCTTATCTCTTAAAACAAGATTCTGGACTAGCTCTTATTATCAAAAATGCTTCTTTCATCGAAGCGTAATAAACGAAGATAAGAAGTGACTCGGATTATTTCAATTTTTATTGATACGTACGAATTTATTTTTATCTCGAATTTATTATTTCTCAACAAATCGGTGAGTTGTGCCATTTCTTTTCTGTAGTTTCCCGTCGAGATCTTGGATATGGAATGTATACGCGAAACACGCGATCACTGGTAAGGATTTTACAGCAGCTGCACACACATATCTTGAACTATATCGATGGATTCCATCGACTTCCGGGAGAGAGAATGGCGAG